AAGTAGCACGGGCTATGGTGAGCCCGTAGTGGACTTTATATTATAATTAAGATATAATCAACAGTGAGTTTAACAGCGGCAAATGAGTGTTAAAAATATCAGCATTTAGAAGCGTAATGTCTCGACCAGTGGAGATCAAGTCAGGCTTTAACAGTAAGTCTGAACGGAATATTTTTCAAGAGTTATAGTAAGTGAAGGATCTATAGTTCCAGGAGGACTGTGATGGCGTTGTTATGTCACAACACGGGACTGTAGCCCGCGCTCAAGGTTGTGGAATGTGATACAATACTGCGGTGAATGGCGAGGTGAGCCTTGTTGTTAGTGGCTCCCGAGTCCCCCCTAAGTACCAGCCAGGGTCCCTGTCTCAGTGGTCACACTCACAGGGGACGGTCCAGTGTCCACCTATACTCTCTCTCTCTCTCTCTCTCTCTCTCTCTCTCTCTCTCTCTCTCTCTCTGTCTCTCTCTCTCTCTCTCACACACACATATCATTCGTTTCTACACGCTCAGTAATTTCCTCCCGCCGTACTGTTAAGCCAGAACATTCTCAATGAACGAATAACTAAGTTGAGAGAGAGAGAGAGAGAGAGAGAGAGAGAGAGAGAGAGAGAGAGAGAGAGAGAGAGAGAGAGAGAGAGAGAGAGAGAGAGACTCCATTACCTCCAACATGACTGATGATGTTGACACAAAAGCAACACTCTGGAGAGGACAGGTGAGACGGTCTGTGTCCACGCCTCCTCCTTCTGCTCCTCTTCCTCCTCCTCCTCCTCCTCCTCCTGCCTCTTACCTTCCCCTATCACATCTTTGGATGTCTAAGTAAATAATTGAAGATGGAGGGGGAGTGAGAATGAGGGAGCGAGTTACCTAGATGGAGGAAGTGGAGGAAACTGAATTGAAGAAAGAGAGAAAATGCGGAGAGTGAGGGAGTGAGGGAGGCTGGCGATGGCTTTACCATAATAGGCTCAGATGGTGTGCCTACCTGGAAGCTACCTGTCTCCGGTTCGAGGGGCCGCCAGTACTCGTATGTCAAATGGCGTCAGCGGCGGTAAGTGGTTTGTTTATGGTCTAAATTGCTGCCTCCATCACTGAATTATGAGGAGGACGCGCCACAGTCTCCTGGAAATTGTTCGCCTTGACTCTGTGGGTGCCTGCTAGAACTGTGAGGTGACATGTCTAGTGCCTGCTAGAACTGTGAGGTGACATGTCTGATGCCTGCTAGAACTGTGAGGTGACATGTCTGATGCCAGCTAGAACTGTGAGGTGACATGTCTAGTGCCTGCTAGAACTGTGAGGTGACATGTCTAGTGCCTGCTAGACCTGTGAGGTGACATGTCTGATGCCTGCTAGAACTGTGAGGTGACATGTCTGGTGCCCGCTAGAACTGTGAGGTGACATGTCTGGTGCCTGCTAGAACTGTGAGGTGACATGTCTGATGCCTGCTAGAACTGTGAGGTGACATGTCTGATGCCTGCTAGAACTGTGAGGTGACAAGTCTAGTGCCTGCTAGAACTGTGAGGTGACATGTCTGATGCCTGCTAGAACTGTGAGGTGACAAGTCTAGCGCCTGCTAGAATTGTGAGGTGACATGTCTGATGCCTGCTAGAACTGTGAGGTGACATGTCTGGTGTCTGCTAGAACTGTGAGGTGACATGTCTGGTCACCTCTCTCTCTCTCTCTCTCTCTCTCTCTCTCTCTCTCTCTCTCTCTCTCTCTCTCTCTCTCTATCGCTATTTGATCAATCATTATCACTCTCATGTATGATAACTTTTACCGTCACTTTCATTGTAACTCTTGCTCAATTAACTATCAATTAACGTCACTATCAGTATCTGTGATAATGTTACGAGCGGCGGCACGTTGACTGGGTGATTAATGGTGTCATTATAAATAACACTCGTAATTTTCACTGTTACTATTACTATCTCTGGTATTATCATTCACTGCTATTACTTCTCTCCATCTAGACCTCATCTCTCACTGTCATTGTCACTATCGCTAACATTCTCACCATTATCATATTGTTTATCTTTTATATCATTATCAATTCTTTCATTATTACTATCAGTTTCATTGACATTTTCACTATCACTCATCTCTATAATTGTCAGTGACAGCGATCATGACTCCCACCCGTCACTGTCCTCACTATACCCTTCATCACCACTATGTAAAGCATAACTTTACAACTGTCCTTACAGCACCATCACAGACAACAATTTCCTCCAAGAGTTTCCCACAGAATTAATTTAATTAGCTCGTTAATGTTCATGGGAAGAATTTCAGGTAAGTTGTGTGCTACATTTCTTTACAAACCGCCGGACAAAGTATCTTTCTGAATATTCTTATCAACTACTTCGTACAAAGTGTACGTGGCTTTCCTATATCTACTGTCATACAATGTTCACTCAAAATTAGCGACCGTAGCTCCGAGGCGAAAATGTCATTAGTGGTTAAACAGAGTCGTCGAGGGAGACAGGTCACTCGCTGCCACTTACAATGGCCACAAGTTACCCTAATTTGGGGTCAATCTGAGCATGACACCATTAGCAGCTAATTGCCTCGTTAAAACCACGTCTATACTGCCGTTTGACACGAGTTTCAATGACTAATATTGGGTACCTGTGACCGTGAGTGTCGGTGGAACGAGGGGGTAGTTTGACCATTACCAGGGCGGTAATGTTGGTTGTGGGGGCGGGGGGGGGGGGAGAGGATATTGATGGTGTAGGAGAGGAACAAGAAAGGACAAGGAAGGAGGAGAAAACGGACAGACATACTCACAGGTATACTAATTGGATGGCATTCCTGCCGTGATATATAGCTCACAGCTACAGTCACTGAAATGGTGATCTTCATCCATATAATGTTCAGAACGATGTTACTCAATTTACCAACAATAAGGTGCTCACTTTCCGTGACACATTAACTAGTGAAGAACTGGCTATTAGCACTTATTTATTTAATTAGAAATTGGTTTTGTAAATTTGATTAAGATATATTAATTGCTAGGCGCGTTGGGGAGTATATTACAAGTGTTATGGAGGAGAGAGAGGCAGAGAGCACACGCTCGCGGTGCTCCACCAAAATTTTGGTTGACATTGAACAACTTAATCTTCGAACCCTCTTGGTCCCCTTAAGCCTAATATAGCGCATATATATTTTATATTAGGCCTAATATAGCGTATATTAGACCTAGGATTGCTTGGATAGGAAACGTTAGGTTACGTTCTTTTGTTAATTTTTAAATTAACAAAAAAGACCATTGTGGGTAATTCAGTAATATAATAAGTGACCTTTTTTGAGGGTCCAACAGTCAGTTTATGTACGTTTGTCCAAGTAGTTGATGCAAGTACTTATATAGGTAGATACTTATGTGGGTTAAACAATATTTATGTCTGGTATATGGTAGCTCCTTACCCAGTCATGTTGGATGTATGGTAGCTCCTTACCCAGTCATGTTGGATGTATGGTAGCTCCTTACCCAGTCATGTTGGATGTATGGTAGCTCCTTACCCAGTCATGTTGGATGTATGGTAGCTCCTTACCCAGTCATGTTGGATGTATGGTAGCTCCTTACCCAGTCATGTTGGATGTATGATAGCTCCTTACCCAGTCATGTTGGATGTATGGTAGCTCCTTACCCAGTCATGCTGGGTGTATGGTAGCTCCTTACCCAGTCATGTTGGATGTATGGTAGCTCCTTACCCAGTCATGTTGGATGTATGGTAGCTCCTTACCCAGTCATGTTGGATGTATGGTAGCTCCTTACCCAGTCATGTTGGATGTATGGTAGCTCCTTACCCAGTCATGTTGGGTGTATGGTAGCTCCTTACCCAGTCATGTTGGATGTATGGTAGCTCCTTACCCAGTCATGTTGGATGTATGGTAGCTCCTTACCCAGTCATGTTGGATGTATGGTAGCTCCTTACCCAGTCATGTTGGATGTATGGTAGCTCCTTACCCAGTCATGTTGGATGTATGGTAGCTCCTTACCCAGTCATGCTGGGTGTATGGTAGCTCCTTACCCAGTCATGTTGGGTGTATGGTAGCTCCTTACCCAGTCATGTTGGGTGTATGGTAGCTCCTTACCCAGTCATGTTGGGTGTATGGTAGCTCCTTACCCAGTCATGTTGGGTGTATGGTAGCTCCTTACCCAGTCATACAGCGTGCCAGTTAGAACGAAAGCCAGTCATACTCTGCATAAGTTAGGTGCTAACTCTGCCACACATCACCACTAGTTGGTAACCGAGCTACGTGGGATGTGCTGTGAGCTCATACACAAGCACATCTGAGCAACAAGCACATCTCTACACAAAGAACACGAAACACAGTGATCCAATTCATCTCTGACAGCCTCCACCATCAATGTCAAAATTATAATGTTAACCTGTATTAATTGTCTCTCTCGTGGGACATCCAGATTCTCCATTAACTTCCTAATGACCTCTAATGGGGGGTCATCCCTGTGGGAGGTCATCAGAGGTCACATGGTGTGGCTCGGGGACGCTGTTATGACCTGGGGAGAACAGGGGAGCACCGTCCAGTATTCTACTGATGCTTATAATTGTCAACTACATCATAATATCAAGCTGTTGTTTTGCTATTTATATTTAAGATTTGTGAAGTTGGTAAGTTATTGTAATGTGTGAGTGGGAGGTGGGAGAGTGGGACTACAAGTGGCCAGCCATGAGACGGGAGGCTTGGGGGCGCTCCATCCCGGCCAGGAGGACCTTGAGAGGAAGTGATTTACCTTAATTTTCCTTCCTGCTCCTCCTTCTTCTTCATCCCCCTCCGCCTCCACCTTCCCCGCCCCCTCCAACTTCTCCTCCACCTTCCCTCCCTCCTCCTTCTTTTCCTTTACCGTCTCGTCCCTCTCCTTCTTTCCTTCTCCACCCCCCTCCTTCTCCTTCACCTCCTCTCCCCCCCCCCCCCATCCTCCACGTTTTCCCACATTAGTAGTCTAAATGAGATGATTTACGAGAGTGAACATGTCATGAGGAAATAATGGTATTCGTCCGACAGCTGATGGTAAGTGTGTGTAACTCACTTGTTTCTGCCTGCAGGATCGACCTCTAGCTCTTGGACCCCGCTCTTCTAGCCGTTGGTTGTCTAATGCAATGACTCTTCACCTGTTTCCCTATCATACTTGCTTTTAAAGTTATGAATGGAGTTAGCCTTTACAATCTGTTCCTTTAGATCATTACATTTACTCACTACCCTCACGCTAAAGGAAAACTTTCAAACATCTCTATGAAACATCTGCATCTCAAGCTTCCATCCGTGCCCCCTTGTTCCATTGATATTCATTGTAAACATTTCCTGTTTCCATTTTGTCAATCTCTCTTAAGTATTTTATACGTCTGTATCATGTCCCTCCTCTCCCTCCTCCTTTCTAACGAGGTCAGATCTAGTTCCTTCAGTTTGCCTTCGTACCTCATCCCTCGCAGCTCTGGGACGAGTCTCGTTGCAACCTTCTGCACCTTTTCGAGCTTCCTTATGCGTTTTTTTATATGGGGGTTCCAGGATGGGGCGGCATACTCTAAGACTAGCCTCACATAGGTGGTGTACAGTGATCCAAAAGCCTCCTTATTCAAATTTCTGAAGGATGTTCTGACTTTTGCCAGAGTAGAGTATGCGGCTGACGTTATTCTAGTTATATGAGCCTCTGGAGTTAGGTTTGGTGTTATGTCCACTCACAGATCTTTTTCTCTAGACGTTAAAGAGAGGTAGTTTCCCTTCATCGTGTATTGGCCTATCGGTTTCCTGGCTCCTGTCCTCATTTCCATCACCTTGCACTTGTTAGTGTTGAACTCTAGCAACCACTTCTCGGACCAGCACTGCAACCTGCTCAATTCAGCCTGGAGAATCTTGCAATCCTCATCTATCTCAACCCTCCTCATTAGTTTTACATCATCTGCAAACATCGACATAAAAAACTCAACTTCTTACAGTCAAGTCATTTACATAAATGAGGTATAGAATGGGTTCCAGCACCGATCCTTGAGGGACCCCGCTTGTTACTCTACGCCAGTCCGACTCCTCGCCCCTCACCGTCACCTTCTGACACCTGTCTTCTAGGTAATTCCTTACCCATGATAGTGCATTTCCGACTACACCCGCCTGCCTCTCTAGTTTGTATAGTAACCTATGTGGTACTGTATCAAAGGCTTTTTGGCAGTCCAGAAATATGTAATTATTTCTGTGTGTGTGTGTGTGTGTGTGTGTGTGTGTGTGTGTGTGTGTGTGTGTGTGTGTGTGTGTGTGTGTGTTGACTATTTGTATTCGCTATTTGTGTCTGCAAAATCGAGCTATTAACTCTTGGACTACGCCTTTCTAACCAATCTACTTTTCCTCTATTATATCTATTAAATATGTTTCTATCCAGCACACACACACACACACACACACAAACACACACACACACACACACACACACACACACACAAACACACACCAAAAAAGCTAAACAAAGTAACATTCAAAATGTCAACTGCTGATAAACACCGGAGATAGTCTTATCGCCTGACTCATTGAACACTAAATCCAAATTTGATTCTTAAAGACGATAGTCGTCTGAGAGCTTCACTTACATGGCGCTCTTGAGAGCCTTGACCTCATGGCGCTCTTGAGAGCCTCGACCACATGGTGCTCTTGAGAGCCTTGACCACATAGCTCTCTTGAGAGCCTTGACCACATGGCGCTCAGAGAGCCTTGACCACATAACTATCAAGATCACAATGTCGAAAATGGCTCATCAGATGGTTCAAGGCAGACTTGAGTGTTCTTCAGTGAAGTCAAGCAGGTGATCTGTCAAGCAAATTAGGTAGTCGGTCAAGCCAACAAGATGGACGATCAAGCCATCAGCCAGGTGGACGGGCAAGCCATCAGCCAGGTGGACGGGCAAGCCATCATCCAGGTGGACGGGCAAGCCATCAGCCAGGTGCACGGGCAAGCCATCAGCCAGGTGGACGGGCAAGCCATCAGCCAGGTGGACGGGCAAGCCATCATCCAAGTGGACGGGCAAGCCATCATCCAAGTGGACGGGCAAGCCATCAGCCAGGTGGACGATCAAGCCATCAGCCAGGTGGACGGGCAAGCCATCATCCAAGTGGACGGGCAAGCCATCATCCAAGTGGACGGGCAAGCCATCATCCAAGTGGACGGGCAAGCCATCATCCAAGTGGACGGGCAAGCCATCATCCAAGTGGACGGGCAAGCCATCATCCAAGTGGACGGGCAAGCCATCATCCAAGTGGACGGGCAAGCCATCATCCAAGTGGACGGGCAAGCCATCATCCAAGTGGACGGGCAAGCCATCATCCAAGTGGACGGGCAAGCCATCATCCAAGTGGACGGGCAAGCCATCAGCCAGGTGGACGGGCAAGCCATCAGCCAGGTGGACGGGCAAGCCATCATCCACGTGGACGGGCAAGCCATCATCCAAGTGGACGGGCAAGCCATCATCCAAGTGGACGGGCAAGCCATCATCCAAGTGGACGGGCAAGCCATCATCCAAGTGGACGGGCAAGCCATCAGCCAGGTGGACGGGCAAGCCATCATCCAAGTGGACGGGCAAGCCATCATCCAAGTGGACGGGCAAGCCATCAGCCAGGTGGACGGGCAAGCCATCATCCAAGTGGACGGGCAAGCCATCATCCAAGTGGACGGGCAAGCCATCAGCCAGGTGGACGGGCAAGCCATCAGCCAGGTGGACGGGCAAGCCATCATCCAAGTGGACAGGCAAGCCATCATCCAAGTGGACGGGCAAGCCATCATCCAAGTGGACGGGCAAGCCATCATCCAAGTGGACGGGCAAGCCATCAGCCAGGTGGACGGGCAAGCCATCAGCCAGGTGGACGGGCAAGCCATCATCCAAGTGGACGGGCAAGCCATCATCCAAGTGGACGGGCAAGCCATCATCCAAGTGGACGGGCAAGCCATCATCCAGGTGGACGGGCAAGCCAGCCTGGCAGGGAGCTACCTCGATGAATGTGTCGTATCCATCTCTGCAGCGCCAACATTATATGAGCCTATGATGCTCCTGACTCTTCGGAACTCCCGCCTGTTGTGGCTCCGTAAGGCTCAGGAGCCTCCTCCGTCTGCACTGGAGGTCCACCTCCACTCACTCGGTCGTTCCTTAGCCCTGTCTTCCCCTCCCCACTCCACCTCCACCTCCACCCCAAGTTCAGATTCTCTTGAAGATGGCTTTAAGGGAGCGTAAGTGCCTTAAGTTAGAAGTGATTAAGGGTCGTATTTCAGTGGTGTGGGCGTTCCGCAAGGCGTTGAGTTAATCCCCTCTTCAATAGTGTGTAAGGAAGGCTCGGGGATGACGTACGCTGCTTGGCCAGTGTGGTCGCTCAATGGCTGCTAATTGTCCCAAATGGATGGCCGAGTTTTTATTCGCTTGCCTCCGCCTTCCCCCCTTGCTTTTTAGTCTTGGCTTGTTTTTATTTTTATTTGCTTATCTGTGTGTGTGTGTGTGTGTGTGTGTGTGTGTGTGTGTGTGTGTGTGTGTGTGTGTGTGTGTGTGTGTGTGTGTGTGTGTGTGTGTGTGTCTACCCTTCTGACTCTCTCTATCGCTATCTGTTTGTCTGTATCTGTTTTGATCATTATTCAGTTGATCGTTCTTGTCTTCCCCCTCATCTCTTCCCTCTTCCTCATTCTAATCTTACCCTGCCTCTCTCCCTTCATTTCTTCATTTCTTTATTCTCTTTCCCCTCTGTCTCTCCCATCCTCTCCCCCCTCTGTCTCTCTCCCATCCTCTCCCTCTGCCTCTCTCTGTCTGTCTCTCTCTCTCTCTCTCTCTCTCTCTCTCTCTCTCTCTCTCTCTCTCTCTCTCTCTCTCTCTCTCTCTCTCTCTCTCTCTCTCTCTCTCTCTTCTTCCTCCTTCTACCCTTTTCCCTTGCTTCCTCTCTCTCTCTCCCTAAACTCTCCCTCTTCCCCTACTTTCAGTTACTACACATAATTTGTCGAGGAATTTGCAGTCATTCCTTTTCCCTTTGCCTTATTCCTCTGCTCTTTCCCTGTGTTTTATATCATACTTCCTTCCCTCCTCCTCCATCTCCCCCTCCCCCCTCCCCCCTCCGTCCCCCCCCTCCCCGTATCCTGACCAGAACAAACTGGGCGGTGATAACTCACAGCCGTTAATAATCGATTAGTTTAACTTTACCTTGAAGACCTTACCTGGCCGGTGATAGCACACAGTAAAGGGGGGTCTGGAAATAAGCAACCTATACATTGGAGAGTTGTTTGCTTGTCAGCCATGGTTGTGTTGTTTGTGCTGGTAATGAAAGATGCTTCGACTGCACATTATAATGGAGGGAAGCTTGTGTCTGTGGAGGCGTGGATATGTTGAGCTGACGAATGTTGCACAATATTGCAACAGGTTGGTAATAATTCTCACGCTAGCGAGCATTCCGTTTGTAAACTGTATGGACATAAATTTGGATACATTCTTCAAAACTCTATTTGTGAATGACTTGCTATCAGTGAATTTAGAACAAAAGGCATGAGAGATTTTGTGTTTTGGAACCATTCATTCACTCACGGATATTGAAAGACATTTTAATGATCTATTAAACGTATGCTAGTACAGACTAGTAGACCAGATTCACATCTCATGGTTTTGCCTGATTCCATGTATGACAAACCTTCCCGTAAGATACCTGATCAACCAGGCTGTGATTCATACGTCAGGCTGCGAGCAGCCACTCCAACAGCCTGGTTGACCAAACCATCAACCGGGAGGCCTGGTCGGAGGCCGGGCCGCGATCTCCGACCAGGCCTCAACGCAAGGTAACCACAAGGTACGATGGACATTAGATGAATTTGTAGTTAACTCTTGGTCTATACTGTGTAATTCTTCCTATAGAAGGTAGTAAGGTAGCAACACTGGTGTGTACCTAAGCTGGTTAATAAACCATCGTGTCAGTACATTATATTAACTTGGCAAGGCAGAGCGTGTCGTGTCTGGCCCGACCTGCTCCCCGGGGCACATCATGCCTTCACAGTGTTCTTCCTTGCTTTCCTTCATATGTCTCTCTCTTCACCATGCTGGGTGTATTCTATAGTTTATGGAGAGATTCCTACCTACCTACCTTTGGTAGGTAGGTAGGTAGGTAGGTACATAGCTATTGGTAGCTATTAGGTAGCTATTCCTGCCAAAGGAATCTCTCCATTTGTCTCCTTGCGCTGGACGGTAGAGCGACGATCTTGCTTCATGCAGGTCAGCATTCAATCCCAGACCGTCCAAGTGGTTAAGTACTATTCCTTTCCCTCGTTCAATCCAAAATCCTTATCCTGATCCCTTCCCAGTGCTATATAGTCGTTATGGCTTGGCGTTTTCCCCTGATAGTTCCATTCCCTTCCGATAATTCCGTTCCGTTCCTCAGTTTTTCCTTCTCTTTTTCTTCCTAATCCCCCGTTAACCCACTTCTCCAGTTGGGTGTTTTCTTTTGTCAGCGTCTGCGTGGTTCACGGCTTTGTAATGAATCTTATTACTTCTGTTTTATTGTTTTCCCTATTTTTTATAGCTGTCTTTCCTGGGACTGGCAGCTGGGTCTTCCCCCATTCTTTTCTCCCATACCTGTTGGTTTGTATTTTAGTACGTTTGTTTACCTGTTTGTTTCAGTCTGTATCTCTTGTTTGTCTTGTCTTTCCCTGCTTGTCCGATTACTTACTTGCCTTGCTAATTGTCTGCTTGCCCGAGAGCCTGTTTGCCTTTCTGATTTCCTGTCTGCCTGCCTATCTACCTTCTTGCCTGCCTGCTTTCTTGTCTGCCTGACTGACTGCCTGCCTGCTTGTCTGCCTGCCTGCCTGCCTGCCTTCTTTTGTGCCTGCTTGCCTGTCTCCTTCCTTCCTTCCCTCTCCTCCTCTTCCCTTCCCTACCGGTAGCAGCCTTGTCTACGGTCAGTGGAGTCAGCAGACCACCCAGCTCCTTGGAGGCAGAACCGGTCAAGGGCCGGTATCGCTGCTGGTCTTGTCCGACAGATTAGCAAGAGGGTAGTGGGTCCGCCGCTTGCTTTACGGCCCTGCGTTATCACCGTCTCCCCGCCACTGTCCTACACCACTCTACGTCCGCACCTCTCTTACGGCTCTCTCCCTACTATATGTGGTGCTTACAGGGTCGCGCTCGGCTCCTAGCCCCGCCTGCCCAACCTTCCTAGATAAATGCATTGACATTTCTTTCGCTTTTATTACTGTATTTTACATTTGCAATTTTGAATGGAATTAGCTTCAACGACTTCTATGTCTTACCTATTTCACTTATTGACAGCTCTAGAACTGAAAAAAAATTCTTTCTGACGTCTCTGCGATTCATTTTTGTCACTAGATTAGTTCTTTGACCTATCGTTCTGCTGTTGCTAGCTTTGAACAACGCTGCTTTATCTTCCTTGTCAAGGTCTCTTAGAATCTTATATGTTGTTATCATGCCTCCCTGTCTCTCCTTTCCTCTATGGTGGTAAAGTACAGTTCTCTCAGTCTATCCTCGTAACTTAATCCCTTCGGCTCAAGAAAGAGTTTCGTTGCATATCTCTGGACCTTTTCTGCTTTCTGTTTGTTGTTTTTCAGGTAAGGGCTCCATGCTGGAGATGCATATTCACTCACGTGTGGGTCTCACCTCTTTGTATATCGGGTCCCGGTAACCCCTTTGTCCACGTTTCTGAAGGATACCTGAACGTTGGCCGTGTATGCCATATGCCGCTGTTGTTATTGTGCTAATGTGGACTTCTGGCGTCAGATTTGGAGTTATGTCCACTTCCAGGCCTTTATTCTTTTCTGATTGAAGAATTTGTCTTCCTTTTATCTTCTACTGCTGTACTGGTCTTCGCACTCCTGTTCCAATCCTCATGACTTTGCATTTGGCTTGATTAAACTCAAGCGGCCATTTTACTGATCAATTCTGAAGTATGTCCAAATCCGTTTGCAGTGCTTCACGACAGCACATCCTCGTGTTTAGGGAGAACTTATAGTAACGATGAGGACCCCTCATACATATATTGACTTAAAAGGCAATTAGAAAGTAGAAATCGGTACTACTGAAATTGGACACATGGGAAAAGATTTTGTACTAATGTTGCAAAGAAACTTAACGTAACGTAACGTAACGTAACCTAACCGTCCTAGACCTAATACACGCTCTCTGAGGCCTAATATAGTACATGTGGGCTATACTATAGGCCTAGCAATATTTAAGCTTAGTTTTTAGCATTTTTTTCGGACTCTATAAAATGTGGACCAAATTATACTATTTAATTGTCCTTTATATATGTGTATGTACGATGGTCCATATAGTTACAAAAAGTATTATGTAAACAGGAGGATGGACTGCTCACAATCTGTCTCTGGCCTGACTCTTCTCATCAGTCTTCCCATCTCATCAGTTTTGCATCATCTGCAAACATTAATATGAATGAGCCAACTTCCTCTGCCAGATCATTGTCATACATTAGAGACAATATGGGTCCCAGAACCGACCCTTGTGGTACTCCACTCGGTACCTCTCTACACTCTGGTGTCTCTGTTCTCACCGTAACCCTTTGCTTCCTTCCTGAGAGACATTCTCCCCGATACACCAGCCTGCTTCTCTAGTTTGAGTAGGAGTCTTTCGTGCGGGACCGTATCATATGCTTTCCGACAGTCGAGGAATATGGTCAGCCATCCTTCTCTTGTTTGAATTCTTTCATCTTGTTATAAAACTCCAGCAAATTTGTTAGTCAAGATTTTTCTTCACTAAAACCATGCTGGCGCCTCGAGACAAAATGGATCTGTCCTACATGTTGCACCAGCCTACTTCGGGTCAGTCTCTCAAGCATCTTGCAGGGAATACTTGTTAGTGATGCGGGTCTGTAGTTCAACGGTTGCTGTCTTGCCCCTTTCTTGTAGATTGGCACTACATTAGTCATTTTCCAGCAATCAGGAAGTTCTCCCATTTCTTAAGAGGAATTAAATATTATGGCAAGTGGGCTGGACATGGCGTCAGCTGCCTGGCGTCAGCCTCCTCTAAGACTGGTCTCACGTAGGCAGTGTAAAGCGC